GCTGGTGATGGTCAGAGGTATTTTGGGAAAAAGTGAGTTTTGAAATGGGAAAAGGAATACAGGGGTATAACGTATGTATATTTTACCTGTGAAATCATGAAAGAACAAGATTTCTGACCTAAATACTCCCATGTGAGGCATGATCCTGACTCCAAATATAGACCGATGAAGTCAGTTGAATGCAGAATGAAACACTGCTTGAAGGGAGAGAGAGAAGAAAGCTTTCTGCTGGGCACGTTAAGATCAGTTCCCCTCCATCTCTCTTTGCAGAAGGAAGCGTAAAGCCACAAGAGCAGCCACAGGGAGCAGCTGCTGATTTCAGCAGAGTGTCCCTGATAGTGTCTGGACAGTGTTTCCTGGATTAGGCGCTAAAGCTTGAAGATACTGAGAGTCAGTGGAGATGAGCAATAGACCCGTGCAAAGTGTGATGTCTGCCAGCCCTGATCACCAAACTGGGAGGAAGGCACAGTGAAGCAGAAAATGGTAAATATTAGCAGACATTGCCCCATTCCTGTCTTTCAACAGGACAGCCAAAACATCCTGAGGAGGAAGGGGGATGGGTAGCTATGAACTGCCAGCTTTCCCAAGCGTGTTCTCACTGACACCCTTCCTTTTCCCCTCAGTAAAGAGTGTACCTGTGCTGCATAACACAACACTGTGAAGAAACGTGTAAGGTAGGCCCAAATGAGCTACGCAGGCATCAAAAGCAGTCTACTTTGGAGCAAGACAAACTAGTCCTTTGGGGGGTGTATTGCCTCTAGCACCTGAGCTATCGAAGATAGCTTCGCACTGGGTAAGCAAGATAAACCTGTATCTATTTTATACTCTTGGATTTGCTGCAGATAGAGAAGTTTCCTTGCCAAGGCCAAGAACGGTGATCAAGTTCCAGGATTTCCAGCTCTGAGTTTGGACCATGCCAGAATGCCTGCATAACTGAATTTGGCCCTTTGTGCTACCAGTGCTATCTAGCGAGAGAGTTACACCTGGATATTTGGGATAAAGGTTTACTGTTCTTCACTAGCTAGTCTGTCCTCTAGTAAGGTTTCAGAAGCTTTAGCTGGGCCACACAGTTCTCCAACATACCTGCCCACAGGTTTATCGGTCAGGTACCTGTCTTTGGGTGGGTTACATCATATTTACAGAATCGAATCCAGCATTCCCTCAGGAATGGGATGTAACGGCACGCTTTCATTCTCTGCACAGCACAAACTTAATCAACAGCAGCTGCCATGCTGCTGCTCCTGTGAGGGAATGATCAGTAACGTGCATTCCGTTACTTGTTTGGGTTCTTTTTTCTTTACCACCCCTATAATCACAGTGGAAACATCAATTTTATCAAAGCACTAACCACCAGCAAGAAACTGCATGTATTAAGATCTAGAGATCAAATCATAACAGCAGTTCCCCACTCTTAAAAGGGAAGTGAAAGGTGAACTATCTGCTGCAAAATTAATTCAGAGAGCTGTGTTTGTTAGCTGTTCGGTAGAGGATCCTGCATCAGGAACTGCTTTCCTTGTCCTCTGCTTAGAACAGATCCCCACTGTGAACTTATTTTCCCTCCTCCACTCTCCTCTTTCTTTGCTCAGACAGAACTAAGTGGCAATGTTGGTCCATTTGGGTGGTGCACGTGCTTGAGATGGTGAACGTCAGACTAACAAGAACACGTGCCATATTCCTGGCTAACGTGTACGCTTTCTGACTTGTCAGCTGACTGACAGGAGGTCTATCTCACTGAAGTGACCAGCCAACCCTTCTGATTTGTCTTTATGACTGGGAAGATTACAATCCAAGGGCCAAAAAGCACACACTGCATTTTGGTTCACACAGGCTGAAACAAATCTTCAAACTGTCTCCAGCTGATGCAGGGGCTGCATATTTTGCAGATGCAATTTAAAATTCTATTCTTCCATTTCAGCATTTGTGGTTTTCGGTGGGAGCAAGGATCATAGATGCCTTAAAAATTCCATAGTAAGCAACCAATTGCACCATTAGGTACATAAGCACCTTTTAAACTCTTATCTTTCAGCTCTTTCTTACTCAGGCCGTGAAGACTACTGCTGTGGAAACAGAGGTGATTGGGGCATTCCATGGCGTGGGTCTCTTCTAAAAACAGTCATATAAAGAAAGTACAACTCTAAAAAGAAATCAGGTCAATGAATTTAACATACTCAGGTTGAAATGTCAGTGTTTGGGAGTATAGACTGATGACAAGCTTTGAGAAACTACTTTGGTAGTTATTTCAATGACACACGAAACAGAGCGAGCGAGCGAGAGAGCAAGCAAAAAACAACATTACCACAAAGGGCATGGTCTGACTACAGCATCAAAAGCACAGAAATTATGTCAGCGACTTCATATTTAACTCTACTCCTCTCTTTGCCTGGTCTTTGCAGCATTTCTGATATGGAAACTCGTTTGCCCTCCTCAGCTGTAAATTAGTCACACATTAGCAGGTAATTCAGCAGAACTTTCTTGCAGGGGACCATTTCCTTCAAAGGGTAGCAGTTATTTGGAAATGTTTTGCAATATTTTGTCTTCTTCATAGTGATACATTTTATTAAAAAGCTTATATCCAAGATAACAAAATTCTGGTTTTGAGCCTTTCCACCTAGCTGCTGTGTTAAGCTAGGTCTCTCAGTGATATATTGTGTTGCAGCAACATGGGCTTGGTTTCATGGATCCTTTGACCCAGATGGGATGATCCTTTTGTAACAGGTACTTCTGATATGTAAATCTCCGCTGGGTAGACAGGAATGTAGCACTTCTCCCTTTGCAACATCAAAAAGGATATGTACAATGAAAGCAACGCCTTTCCGTTGAGGAAAAGAAAATGGCGGGGTGATGCACAGCTGACTGCAAAGCAGGGCACAGGTAGCTGAGAATGGGACTCTCTGCTTTGGGATTTCAGGAGCAAACATGTATTTTCCAGGCCATTTCGTTTCTCATGGGCAGAGAAGGTAGACGATTGAGTTTACAGGTGCTTAACATCTTTAATCAATTGCAGTTTGGAAATACAAACACTGTATCGTTCTGTTCATCACTGTATGCTTGTTATCTCTGGCATACCTTGGGAGATCTTTCAGCAGTAATAGTTCTTAAACCTCTTTAAGATAAGCAGCTGAAGGGCAATACGAAGGAGCAGACCAACACAACATAATTCTGGGAAAAAACTTCTTAAATTGAAGGAGTAAAACTGATATGAAAGTCTCCGATTAAGCTGCTGCTTAATGGAAAAAGTGTGATTTGAATGCAACAGATTTTTCCCTCAAAATGCTGTCTTCGGATATCCCAGGAACATTTTGATGAAAAAGTTAAAAGTTTTGATTTGAAAATGCTGCTTTTATGCTTCATGGGAGTTGATGTGCCTTATGAATCCCAGACTTTTTCTCGTCTAGGCTTCCATGAGACCTTAGAACCATGGAATGAGATTACTCATTGCCTACTTTCTCTTATCAAAGCTGAGAAATGTAGTGTGACTGGTAAGTTCAGCCTACAAAAGAGAATAAAAGCATGTGGTGATCATACAATAACTCACCTGAGCGTCTTGGTGGTTTTTCTAAACTGGTATCTTTGGTATTCAAACTTCCGTCAAAAATCCCACTATTTTTTATTTGAAAAATTTGCTTTCATCAATACTTTCTCTAGGAAAACAAGATATTTTAAACCAACTTTTCTGAAACCAATTACTATCAATAAGAAGACACATTTACTGTTCTTTAAGTTTCTTTCTGAAAGCCATACCAGCTAGAAGATGGGCTGGTTCTCAGAAGCAATGCTGCAGTGAAGCAGAAGAGTGCTCTGAGTATGACTGTGCTCCTCATTCAAAAAATTCACTGTTCATATGAGAAAAAATAGGGTCTCATTCTTTACCATTTTCACATGACCAGCAACCTGTTTTCCATCAATTCTTCTTTTTTTTTTTTTTTAAATCTCCCTCTATTTTCACATAAAATAGCATGTGCATTGGTGGAACAAAACTGATGGATTATGAGGTTTTACAAATGCAATCACGTGCCCTGGGCTGAGGAGAGCTAAACATTGACTATGCAATCCCTCTACTTCCCAAATACTTTGTTTACAACTGCTACCTACTTAATCTTCTGAGTGGAGATGCTTGTGCTTGGAACAGGTTAATTCAGCCACTGACACCTGGTAAGATGTAGTGAGGACTGCTTCTTGGGGGGAGGCAGGGGGTAGATGGAATCATGTGGGAGTGAGGCTGAAAATTTGAACAAAAAAGAGTAAAGGGGAAGCAAGCGAGTGGTGCTAAGAAACTGACTGCTGCAGAGAAACGATGAAGACAACAAGAGATGGAAAGAAGAGCCCAGGAACCTAGAAAAGCAGAACACAGAAAGAGGAAGAAATAGGAAGAACAAGAAAGTAAATACAGAAAAAACGCGTCTGAGAGGGTGTAAAAAGGCAGAGGCAGAGGAAGGAAACTTTGAAAGAATAGCGCGAAAAAATATATTTACAGTATGAGAGAGTAATGTAAAAAAAATTAAATAGATAATATAAACAACATGAATGTAAATAAATACCTTATATTTTGTAGTCTGAAAGAATGATGGGGAGACCAGAGTCTCAGCTGGCTGCTGGTTTTTTGAATCAAACTAAGTTGATCTAAATTTAAATGAAAGAACGTTAAAGTAGGGTGGAACAGAGTGGGATGTGCACGTTACATTTCTTTTAGAACAGCAAAAATGTCCTGAGTCATTCCAGAAGAAGCATGTGGATTCTGGAATAAATCATATGGTGGTTTTGTTTTCCTTATCTTTCAATATTTTCTTTCCTTAATTAGTGGTGGCAGAAAACTAACATGTGGTGAGATTTGAGAAACCACAATAACCATATTAGCTAAACGAGAGTAAATTTCCTTTCAGACCTTAAACATACGAACAAAAACTAACTGCATGTGGGGGCTTTATTTGCATAGCATGCAGATTTTAAAATAGACGTCTTAAAAAGAAAAAAACCCTCTTTGCTTGCCACTGTGTGAAGGCAAAGCACAAAGTATCTGCAAGGAAGGCTGTCTGGGCTTTGCAAGGAGGTGAAAAGAAAACGTGCGCGAAGGTAAGTTGGATTAGTTATCGTACATTAACTTTGGCATTAGCCTAAATGGATTTAATTCGTCACCTTCTGAAAGACTTATTCTTACTGAACATTGAATATATTGCAGACTAAAAGCCTGACATATGTTTAAATTAGAAAACACCTGAATATAGAAGAGAATGAGTAATACTTTTTGTAACGAATAAGCTAAAATTTTGATTAGCCTTTTAATGAACCAAGCCTGCTCATGACATTGATGAACTGTACCAGGGAACAGATGCAGAGCATCTCATGTGGCCACAGGAAAGCCCAAGTGTCTGAAACAACTCTCTTTCTGTGCAATAGTGTTGATAATATTTAGATGCTTCACGGGCCTTCACAGGCTAATGTTTCAAATGTAGACTGATGTCTGAAAGAGATACTGGAACCTACTACTAGCAGCAGAAGTCTTTGCTTGGATGTGTAGTACAATCAGTATGCACTTGCTGGGTGATTTGAAGTTGCATCCATTTTTGTAGTACAAGGGGAACTTCTACTTACACTAACCATTATTTGCTGTTTAAATGACTGCCATGGGCTAGATTTGTCTTTGTGTAATGAAATCTGCTATGTAAGATCTCTCTCTTCAGTCCCAGAGTTATAAGAAAGTAGACTTAAGGCCCCACAGTGAACTCCCTTTACCAGCACAGAATGTGTTCCTACACTGAATGTGCTGTTTTTAACTGGATTGGAGGCCATGTTTCAAAATGTCAGACACCATGTGTGAGAAGCCGTGATCTTCTCCAGAGAGCACTCAAGCGGAAACTGAGCTCTCCCTAAACAGCATCTAGGCTGTCATATATGGCAATGTTATTACAAAAAGTGTATGCAAATCAGCTTATCAAGAGTAAATATATACTATTCCTCACGGCACTTCAGAGACAAGAGAATTAGTTACAAATGAATCTTACATTTTCTATCCAAGACTGTCCAGAAAATTCCTTATGAGCCTGATCTGAAGACCAAATCAAGTTAATTCGGAGATTTCCGTTACTAAATTTTGAAATGCAAATAACAGCAAGACAGCAAAATAGAGAAAAAAATAGTTTAAAAAAAGAAGAAGAAAGAAAGAAAAGAAAGAAAGTCCTTTATAGCAAAGGTTAACAGAATGGCCACCTGAAAACTAGTGAAGTTTTAATGATGGAAATTGTTATGCATTGTGAAACTAATAAATAATACAGAGAAAAGTACTTTGTTATTTTGATTAAGGATGTCTGGAAAGTGCCTAGTCACAAGCTCTGGGCACCTTGCCAATTGTTTTAATGTACAAAACCAAAATACAGTGCAATCAGTTTGCATCTTCTACCACATCATAGCTCATGCACCCTCTCCACTCCCACCTCTGCCTTTATGCTGCCCTCTGCATTGACCAATAGCTCAGCTGTACTTGATCATCTTCACAGGCCAATTAAAACGTAGGTGTCCTCCAGCATCTGCTGTAAGTCACTGACTTTGGACTGCTTCAGACCAAGGTAAGATGTATTGCTGTGCATGATGGCTGCTGAGAATATGAGAACCGTCCCACAGACCAAAGGTCCATGCAGCATCCTACTTTGGAACATGGCCAGATGCAGACGCCTGAGGTGAAGAACCTTCCAATAGTGACGCTTGTGCGGCGATATCCTTCCAGCTTTCAGGAACCTGCCGTTAACTGCCTCCTGAGTTGGGGATTTCCATCAAGTTGTTGTGCCTAATAATCTGCTTTGGGCCTATGTGATCTGCATTTGCCTAATCCTTCTTTGAACTCTTGTGTCTGTTTGTTGTCTGTGATGTCCCTAAGCAACAACCCTCACATTTTATTAGGTGCTATGTGATGATACCTTGTTTTGTTGTCCCAAAGAAGGGTTCTTTCACCTGGTGTGCAATGATTCGAGAAACACACAGAGTCAAGATATTTGTTTAATTCATTTCTGCGCAGAGATGGGTGCTAGGTGGTAATTCCACGCAGCTAGCACACCTGATTAATACACAGCTTACACTTTATACAGTTTAAGCAACAGTTACCAGTACAGTTTACAACTACATTCAGTCATCCTTGCTCCCATTGGTTCTGCTAGGTCTCATCTTCATTTACAGTCGCTGTATCCTCTTTTGCTACTAGGCATGCTCTATGGGGAAGGGGCTTTGATCAGCAAAGCCCCTGTCTTCCCTGCTTGTGACTGGGTTTTTTATTATGCTAATTAGGATAGTTCACCCGTAGTTCAAGTAGTTCTCTGCTGTTTATCAACTGTTTTTGTTCTCTTCGGGCTTATTTGAGTACGTCCTTATCTGGTTGTCTTATAGTGTTGTCTTGCTCCTTCCTTCAGGGCCTTGTTGTGTTAGCTACCCATGAAAGACTGAATAATGCCCTAATCTCCTTCCTTCCCATACCTCCAACAGTTTTGCCTGATAACTTCACAGGGAGCCACCTATATGTTTTCTCTGTGAGACTTAGTAGAAAATTATTTTGCGTTTACACTCACCCAAAACTCATGTTTTTATGCAACTCTATCATATCCCCTCCACAAGTAGTCTCTTTTCCAAGCTGCCTTTTTAGTCTTTATTCAGATAGTTGTTCCATGCCTCTGATGATTATCCTGTGGCCCTTTGCTGTACTTTTTCTGCCTTACTACATACCTCCTGAGAGGCAGTGAGCAGAACTGCACTGTAGTGCAGCTATGGGAGCTTGATAGATTTATACAGAACTGTTATGAACGTTTCCATTTTGTTCTTTCTTGCTGCTTAGTCATTCTTAATAAACGACTCACTCTTTTTGGCTGAGTTTTATGGAGACTTAGGCCAGGTAGAACAGCCCCCAGATCATATAGGACATTATAATTTAAAACCAAAAAAAGCCTTTGAGAAGAAATGGAAGGTCGTAGGTAACTAGCATAGAATGAGAGCTCTCTAAAAGATGTCCTGCCTACCCACTGAGCGCAGAATGACTGGCAGTAGTGAGACTCCGAAACCTCACGCCCATCCCATCACCACAGGTCATCAAGTGTTTTGACCACTGCTGCAACCTGGTCCTTTAACTGCAGCTGTTAGCTTAATTTGTCAAAAGAAATTTAAAAGTGAGATAACTTTAGCCATCTGCAACAACTGTTTTCTTGGGCTTCTATTTTTACACCATTTGCTCTGCACTGAGCCTCAACCACCTGCTCTCATCCAAGGACTGAACTTAGGCAAACCATAAATCAGCCTCTCAATCGCTTTATGGGTTTAATCATAACCTTGCACAGATCTGTGATGATAGGCAATGATTTACTTCAAACAGCAATAAGAAGGCCAAATCAATTTTAAATTGAGCTCAATGAAGTCAGTCAAGTCACAATCCAGATTGATTTCACACCTTTTTGGCTCTTTATGCATCAAAAAGTGATGATATCCTTCCATCAGTAGTAATCAAAATGTACATGTTTGCCAACTAGGGAAAAACAAGACCCTCATTTCAGGGTTCGTAAGTATATACATGTTACGTTAGAGATCTATGCAAATGTTTGGATTTTTTCACAGTTGTAGTCAAGGTTTTGGATACTACAAAAATAGGCAGTCAAGAAAATGACATGTGACTGCTTAAATGATTATGGACTATTACATGATATTTTCTATCCACCAAGTCACATTTTGTGACTACGTAACGTTTTTGTTTCATTCACTTGCTATGGTTTGTGGAAAGCAGCACCACACATTAAAAAAAAAAAAAAAAGCTGCTGGAACCCCCTTTATTGTGATATGATCATTTTTGAAAAAAAGACCTGTGTGACATCCAACATCTTGCATTTCTCAGGTCCAACATTCTATTAATTTAAACATAGCTTACCGGGCTGCCTGTATTAGTGCAATCTGGTACCTCCAGCAACATGACAAGCTGCAACTGAATGCTCACATACATGATTTCTGAAATAAATAATAAATTTGAAGGATTCTTGCTGTTCTTTTCTGCTAATGCAAATATTTAAGTTATCATCAAAATGTAAATTAAAAGTCTAGGAAAGAAACATTTAGAGTTTTCAAAATTCATGGATGATAAAATCAAATATTTTCCTAATTCCAAATAACTTTAACAACCAGCATGAACAGTATGCACATAAACAGCAAACATTTGTACCAGTCAAATACAATGGCATTTTTCTTCTTTACCTGGGCATTTGCACATTTTGTGCAAGCAGTTCAGGCAAACGATTTGGATAACATGCCCTTCAATACAAAGTAGATTCTTTTCTGTTCTTCAGAAAAACAAGTTTTTGTTCAGTTTAGTAATTAATTTTTGCCACAATTTGGCAATTTTTCTTACTGTAAGTGATCTTGTAGATTTAAATGGGGCAGCTCAGCTGCATGACATTAAAAGCACACATAACCCTATGCAGAAATGGGCCATCATTCAGGATATGTTCTGAGTTAACAGTGAAAACATTTGGATAGAGATCACTCTACTTGATTTTAATGCTAGATAAATTATTTGAAAGCTAATATCATTATATAGGTAGTCTAATAAGTAAATGACTTTCATCTAGTTTGTGTGTCTCCAGCATAGATAGGGTTAAATATTTTCCTTTACGTAAAAAGCAGGTTATTGTTACGGCATGTCAGGAGGAAGTGGTGATAATTTCAATTTAACTCTGTACCTTTAACTATTGCTGTTATTTCTTGTTTTTCTAATTAAAGTGTACTTCTTTCGAGGCTGATGGTGAATGTGCTTCAGCCAGCCACAAAAGATCGTAACAGAATCACATATCCCCTTTGACCTAAGCTTCAGACAGTATTCTGATCTGGTAAGTACCAAAATACAAAAGGTAATCTAAAATGTATGTATATATGACGAATGTATTAAACTACACACATAAGTAGAGGAGATAAGTACAATTGACTTATGACGATCAGTGGTTCTTAAAAGGTGCTTATTGATTCCCTGCAGGTGTTGAGAAGTTTTTTGCCTTGTAGAAATCTGTCTTTTTCCTGAGGTCTTTCTTTATCTCTTGTCTTTTGCTTGTATAATTCCAAATAATCTATTTGTAGTTAAGATTGTAGTGTAGTCTTAATACTGAGTACAAACATATTGCCTTCATAGTGAAATAAAATACACTAAAGTGGAAAAACAGTAAGCTAAAGAATAGATTACAAGGCCTATACAACATTTAATATTCAGAACGTGTGTTTGTGTGCATGTGCATAGACTTCTGTTTATACATACTATACCAGCAGTGTTAGAACATACGTGTATATCTCATGGAAATTTATTTTTGATAATTACCTAACACATTGCTGCTAAATAAAGCCAAAAATATGCAGATTATAAAGCTGCCTATTACAAGACTATTGAAGAGATCTTAATTGAAGAGCAAGTTATGTTTACAGGGGATCTGATTCAGCTCCCTTTGCAGTCTGTGCCTCTTTCTAATAACTTCAGTGAATGCTGTTTTGAAATCATTAAAGAAAATCAGCTCAAGAGATTTAAATCAGGTCCTAAATCTGATCTTTGCAATTCTGGTTTCAGTTTGAGTCTTTCTCTAATTCGCTTGTACCAACCAGCCTCAAGAAGTTTTTGTTGGAGAGTGGAAGTCCTTTTGTGAATAAATGCGTGACTGGTGGTGCCCTTGTGAATTTCTGTAACATTAAGGAGAGCACGCAGTGCTCTGTGACGAGTAGGAGTAATTCTTCTCTCCAAGCTTTCTACTGAGCTCTTCTGAGGAGCAGGGAACCATTCTTCAGGGCTACCATGAGGAGATCTCTCTTCTTATCCCTCTGTACAGGCTTTAGGAAACACTTGAGCTCCATTTTTCTAAACGTCTTCACTGTGCCTTCTTCCTTCTACTCATTACTCTGAAGTTTGAGAGTTACTTTGGCTAAGTGCAATGAAGAGCTATCGTTGCAGAGAGAAAATACTGTTGGACTCTCTTTGCATATTATAATCATGTATATCGCAGCAAGGTATCTATCATACCATTTTTATTTTTCTTGCAGCAATAAAATGATAACAGTTTCTGAAATAATAATCTGGACAGGTATTCCTTTAGTGCTGCCTAACTGCAGAGTTGCTGTACTTGCAACCTAGTGCAAGGAGTAACAGAAAGACCAAGAAAAGGCATGTGTGTCTAGCTGGATGGGGCCTGAGGAGCATAAAGCAGCAGATGGAGACTGTGTCAGGTTGCTCAGAGAACACAGGCCAGGGACCAGCCCCAGCTGAGCTGTTGGAACTTAACTGCTCATTTTATAAAGCTTTGCACGTCTGGGAGACAACTTTAAATTGTTAATGCTTGCTTCAGAAGGTGTTCAAGGGCTTTCAGGCTGTTACACTCCAGCAGCTTCAGAAAATCAGCTTTGAAAAGCCAGCAGAGGAAGTTGGAGTGGTGGTTAAAGATTTCTTTAAAGCACAGGAAAGCTTGCGAAGCAGTGATGCTAAGCAACATGACGTAGTGTGGGCTTTTACCAACCTGCAGCCATCTATATGAGCCTGTGTCCCTACGAGTCATACCGAGACTGATCCTCATTATGCTGCCTTTTAGGGAGTTGAGTGAAGAGCGTTCACTCCTCTCCCTCCCCCAACTTCCCAGTTTTATCTGGGCTGCATCTGCTCCACTTGAATTACAAACAGGAAGGATTTGTTAATCTAGACTTAAAATTTGACCGACGTGCACTTCCTCCTAGCAGGATAACTACTAAAAAGCAGAGATACTCTAAATGAAAATGATATTCACACTCTCAGCAAATATATCTCCCAGTCCCTGCAATTACTGCATTGCTGGTACATGCAATTCTCAGGGAGCAAAGAATGGAAAGAAGAGGAACTCTTGATTACAGCAGACAAATGCTGAAGAAATCTCCTACCTACTGGTTCCTCTGTGAGGTTAAGCAAGTCATTTAATCCCAGCTTTTTATAGGTGGCCACCAATGACATGTTCCCCATTTTATCTGTATCCGTGACTTCAGACCCTGAGGTATGAGTTGCAGAAGTCTGAGCCTCACTGCAATCAGAGTCAATGGATTCAGTCCTTTAGACACCTGAAGTCCTATATAACGCTAAGCACTTAAAAGTGATGTTGGAGGGAAGAGGTGTTGCAAACTGAACATCTCAAGTGGATACTTACTGTAGGGATTCACTGCTTGAGTGCCTTCTCTGCAAAATAAATGTAACAATACCTCCTCAACACACAGTGCTCTGCAAGTAGATTAATTACTGTTTGTAAAATACTTAGATAACACAGTGATAAAGAAAATAACTAATTTTATCCCAAGACTGGAATTTTGACAGTCAGTCTATAACAAAAGAGATCTACACAATGTACAGGGATAAAAATCAGTTGCAATAGTGCTCACTCAGTCCTTGCTCATGTTGTGTACTATCCTTTGCACTGTAACAAGCACTTACTCTGGCCCTCTTCATTTACCTCACTAGTGTATTGTTATGCTGAGTGATGCGATATGCTGATAAAATGCCATAGCAATACATAATGTTAAAATGTAGTAATACTGTTGTGGAGTATAATAATGTGGTGCTGTTTTACTGTTCCATTTTTATCCTAATATCTCAATTTCCATTGTCATACAGAATTTTTTAAAGTAAAATTTATTCTAATTCCCTGTGGTAGAAAATTGATGTGAAGAAAGAGTCACATATTCTCATATATTATTCGCTGTACAAATACGCATTCCACAGGTAAGGTGCTGCTCTTAATGATACTGACACAAATCATCAGCTTTCCAGGACTGCACACTGTACTGCAGAGAAATGTGATTTGCTGAGGTGCTTGTGTGTATTGTTGATACAGCTGAAGTGAGGCGATCTTTCTTTGATTAAATGTTTTATTTCCAATTGTTTTTCTACTTGTTTGCAGTTCCTGTGTTCTTTTCCTAATCTAATCTACTTTTTTTCTTTTCAGAAATCCTTGGGAAAGCATTTTGAAGCTTTTCTCACCACATTTTCCCTTCGCAGAAGCATACCGCCAAAATGAGTAGTGTACGTATTAAATTGATAAACTATATTAGTAAAGCAATGAAGCAATTAATCTGGAAGTCCAAGCTCTTTGCAGCTGCTGCTCCAAGAGTGCCAAAATATTATAAGCGATTGGCTAATAAGAAGTTTCTCACAGCAGAGTTCACTGGCAATGCATCCTGTTATTTGGAGTTGCACTCAATTTAACTACAGGTCTGGTGCCTGCAGTGCCAGTACCTGCGTCTCAGGCTAGCCACCCTGGATTACCTGTCTAGATGAGAGGAGAGAAGTAATCATTTTTGGGATTGATTCATCCAACCTCTTTTAGACTTCTACATTAGTATGAAACGTATAACATTCTAGATGGGCCTGTTCTTCTCCCTTGATTCTAAAGGAAGCGTAGACCCCCTACCTCAGGTGCAGACATTTACGCTGTGGACTTCACCGTGATGGCAGATTAATCTCTTCTGCATAACATATTTAAGGATGGTGTCCTTTGAGCCATCCCAAAAGATTATCTCCTTGTTATATTTTTAATTAAGGTTTTATGAAATTCACTATTTAGTTCTTTTCAGTCTCCTCCAGAGTATTCAATACATCTGTATTTTGCGAGGTGGAGTAGGAGCGGACCATCTCATGTATTTTGCAACAGTGTTAAAACATGTAGTGCTGGAGGAGACAACAGTGCTGTGGATTGTCTGAGATAAACTTGATACAGGTTTGAAGCTGAGAGGTGGGAAAGACTGTACAGAAAGATTACAGTCACCACAAGGGACATGTCACTTGCACTTCAAATCAGCAAGCCTTTTAATAGTTGTGTATTTTTTTCAAGCTAGTAGTACCTTGTCTTTGTATAACTTTATTACCTATCATTTTTCTACTATATAGAAATCGAAGAAAGTAATGCTAGTACTTCAGTAGTTAACTGGTGATGTTCTTTTTTACAGGCAGAGCCTAACACCACAGATTATGCATATGAGACAGACTATCTTTCTCTAATTGCACAACCATGTTCTAAGGGAGAAGTCAGAAACTTCACAAAAGCATTTCTGCCAGTCGCATATTCGTTGATTTGTATCGTCGGCCTAGTTGGTAACATCTTTGTAGTGATGACCTTTGCTTTATATGAAAGAGCCAAGTCCATGACAGATGTGTACCTCTTCAACATGGCAATAGCAGACATACTGTTTGTTCTCACTCTCCCGTTGTGGGCAGTGAATTATGCTGCAGATAAATGGATTTTTGGTGATTTCATTTGCAAAATGAGCAGAGGTATCTACGCAATCAACTTCAACTGTGGCATGCTGCTTTTGGCCTTTATCAGTGTGGATCGGTACATAGCTATTGTACAGGCAACAAAGTCATTTAAAATCAGGGCAAGAACGCTAGCATACAGTAAACTGATTTGTTTGGCTGTATGGGTAGCATCAGTTTTAATCTCCAGTTCCTCTTTCCTGTATAGTGAAAGTTACAGCTTCTCCATCAATGAAACCAAAGAGATTTGTGATCACAGATCTGACAGAACATCCGAAAGCACCTTGCTGAAATTACTGCTCCTGAGTTTACAACTTGGATTTGGCTTTTTTATTCCTTTCATGTTCATGATTTTTTGCTATACATTCATTGTCAAATCTTTACAACAAGCTCAAAATTCCAAAAGAAACAAAGCAATCCGTGTGATCGTATTAATTGTGGTTGTTTTCCTAGTTTGCCAGGTACCCCATAACATTGTTCTTCTTGTGACAGCCATAAATCTGGGCAAGATGAACAAATCTTGTGACAGTGAAAAGAAAATAGCCTATGCAAAATACATCACAGAAGCCATAGCATTCTTACACTGTTGCTTGAACCCTGTCCTCTATGCATTTATTGGAGTGAAGTTTAGAAGTCACTTTGTGAAGATAATGAAAGATCTGTGGTGCATGAGATACAAGAAATACAACAGCCGTAGTTCAAAGACAAACTCTGATACTTACCATTCAAGACAGACTAGTGAAATTCTGAGTGATAACATATCTTCTTTTACTATATAACACAATATGAACAACATTCTTACTGAAAGATTCTGTTCACCGAGCAACCCAGACCACTCTCATTGTGCGTATGACAACCAGTCATCTGTGCTTCTCTGCACCCCAAAGGCAAGCTCCCATGATCCACAGCTCCTTTCAATAAAATAACATAAAGAAAAGACTAACGCTGTCCTCTGAAAAACTGAAATCTTATTCACCTAACATCCATGCTCTTCTAAAGTGCAATCACTTAGAATTATCAGGAAGGTGAAGTCGATCAAGGAACACTCCTCATTTTGAATAGAAACTGCCTGTCTCCTCTGTCTTACATCACTGAAGTATCCCAAAAGTACTAAATAAATGATTCAGGTTATGTCCAGGCTCATTCTACTTACATTTATATTGTTGCTGTTGATTATTTATGCCTAGCAATCCTATTTAAGTGTGAGTCTCCACTCCGCTTGCATTGTAAATAGGTTGTACGGAGAAAATACTAAGCTAAACAGATGACATTTTGGGCAAGGCCTGGCAAGAAAAGCTAACACACGAAGAGACGAAGAAACAAGCATAGCTGGACTTAGATTGTAGGTCTCGCAAGTCTTTGTCCAGTTCTATGCTCCACCTGCTCATCAGATGCCTCTAAATGGAGTTGCACAAGCTTACACCAAGAATGAGGCTGATCAAAGGCAATAGTAACCTGTCTTCTAAAGAGAGTATTATGGAAAGAGGAAAATTATGAAATAAATAGAACACTGAAATATGCGCAAGAAGGTTTTTTGATAGCTACTCAGAACAAAGAACAGAGAGATTCTTCCTTTCATTTAGCACCAGACTCAGATCCTGGAATTCATTGAAGCTGATCACTTCGTGTAAATATCCCCGTGAAAAGCTGATTCTTCCCAGCTGAAATTCACGCATCACTTCTTTAGAAGAAGTAGACAAACTGAAGAACAGAACTGTGATTGTTCAAATTCCAACATTTTTTGTTGCAACTAGATCACTGTCAAAACTTGATGCATTTCTTGGTATTTAGCAACCATTAACAAAGTTTCCTTAGGAATGCATTTTTTAACACAAATACACATATATGAAATTTATTCTGTTATTAGCTTCAGAAATTACTAAGGACAATATCTAAAAGTAAGAGTAGAGTGTGACTTAATTCGTCCAGATTTTTACTGAACTGGTCAGCGTTTGACTCACAATGAATATAGGAATGTTTATAATAAATGAATAATTTTTTTTTACTCAGTCGTGACTTTTTGGCAAACTGAAGCATGTGTTTAAAAAGCACACACAGGAACACTCTCAAAACAGGCTATGCTGAAACTGTTCTCCAGCAGAGATGTGACTAGTGATGTAGTTCAGCGTCACTTCTGTTCACTGAGAGAGCTTCACTGTACTATGACAACGATGAGGGGAACAACCTGGACTGCTGAGGAACTCAAACCCCCGACACCTAGACTAACAGAAAGATGTTCTAGACAGGACTAGGAGCAGATGCACTTCGAAGAGCTGGAGGGCAGAGCGGCAGGACAGAGTAGAGGACAAGCGCACCACTGCTACCCGTTTGCAGTCGGCTAAAGTGCCAGTCTTCCGCAGCTCCCCTGCAACAGGAGCGTGAGCCATGGCAGTGTCTGGACTTGCTGTTACGTGGAATTGTCCACTCCGACGGCAGTGTTAATCAACACAATTTGCAGCTTGCAGTTTGCCTTGGACGTTTTTTTTTGAACTCATGACTGAAGGGAGAACGGACCAGAAACCACATCCTCCACTGGCAATGGAAGGGGCCAAGGACGGCAATGCCGGAACTGAAGAATACTTGAGGATACGACATGACATGAAACTAGTACTGTTTTTACTGGTACAATCCATCCTTGTTTACAGTGCAGTGTGAGGTTTTTAAATATTAATGTCGGGTGTGATAAAGATCATATGTATTTATCATCAATGACTAGTAACTTAGGCAAAAATATACAAAATTATGTAAATGCATATGCATGCATTTGCTGTATCTAGCACTGATTATTTTCTGGAAGAGAATTCAGCAAATAAAAATATAACTGACTGACTAAGACTAAAACCTCAGATCTCACTATACTGATTTGAAATACCTCCGGTAAGAGTTTCTTGCTACATGTATTGCCTTGCAAATTCTCTTATTCAGTGCAAAATCTCCGTTATCCGAACTGATTTAGCATCTGTCCCCGCAAAACTTGGGTGTGAGAGTGGGTGCCGTGTTCTGCTGCACACGGGGTGGGAAACGCCTGACTTGAACCCGCCGCCTGCTGGGACTGCTCTCCTTTGCGCCCCGTCAGCGGCAGGCCTCCGAGTGACTAGCGCACCCACGCGTGGGCCGGGCCGCGTTGTATAGCGGGCCATTAAACCAGCAGCCAGCCCACGGGCACGGCGCGTGGGCTCTGCCGCTCACACCTTTTTTTTGCACTGCCTGGGCGGAGAAGGAGTGCAGTCACTGCTTTTTGGGGTGACCCGGGGCAGGGGGAGGAGTGCGCCGTAGCTTCACTGGACAGGTTGGGGGTAAAGGGAGAGAGCAAACCTAAATCCACACGTCGAGGTCCTTCACCTGCGAATGTGGCCAAGGCAGGCTGCCCCGCGGGTTGCTGGCCCATGGCTAACCTGAGGACTGCGCAATGGCTCCCGCCACATTTGAAACTGCAGTGTGAGCTCTGCCTTGGATGGGAGGCAAGATAGCCCCCTGGTTGTTGCCTTGTGTGGGAAAAAAAATGCTCATTGGCAGTGACTTTAACAGGTAGAAAAACACGTCCGACTGCTTTTTGCTCTGACTCTAGTTGCTGAAAAATATCACTGGGTTAGAGGAGCACTCTGTATGCTTTAGTTATGGATTGTGCCCAAGTCAAGATCTTCCTAAAAATCTTTGAGGCTGCCTCTTGAGGCACAGCTGAAATCCCAGCCAGCCACAGATAACCTTGTGGGGGTGGAAGGGTAGAAATAGCTCACAAGGGCTGCTCAGTGAATGGAATTCATGCTTCAACAAGCAGGTTTCAGCAACTGGTTTGGTAACCTTACAGTTTTTAACTTGAATTTTGCAGGCAGTTACAGTATGCAGGTATGAGTTGTTAAATTTCGTATAATACCTTTTTGCAATTTTTGTGAAAACTACTGCTGGATAAGGGAGACGCAGTTCAGCATCCCAATTGGAGAGGCAGAATCCAACTGCTAGACATTTATAGGAAATCAGACATTATTTTCACTGCTTGTGGAATAACTTTTTTCAGGTCTTGCTATGGATGCTGCTTTTTATTCAAACACTTTAACATTAAGGTAGGTATGCAGTACACTGTCTAGGGAATGCGTAGTGTAATTTTCTTTTTTGTTGCCTTCATTTCATCAGTCATTTCTGAAGAACAAAAAAAGATTGTTTTTAGATGGGTCTTTGTTTTCCTATTGTGTCTAAAGAGAGAAGAATACATACTGTATTGCGTCATGGTGTGCACAGAGAAGATGCTGCTGATAAGCTTCAACTTAATATCATCCTCCAGATGGAGGCAGCGATTGGGTTGTGGTACTGCCAGTGTAAATTCCTTGCTCATTAGTGGATTCCGTTCTGCTTATGGTAGGTAGGTGGCATCCTCACTTGACTGTCCATTCAAGCAGTTCAGAAACAGGTAGGTCATTGGTGCACAGTGATAAATCAAGGCTTCATATCTCAGTGTAGGTAGCTTAAAGCTAAGTGTATTTTCTGACACAGATCATCTTGAAAACTCAGCTACTGTATTAATCAGGTCCCTGCAAAAAGCAACAGTTGTCTTCCCATGGTATTTAAATTTGATGTGATACATCTTCTACATGTATATGTATTCATTTTTCTGAGAAAAATAACCACTGTAAACTGGTGAACCTGCAAGAGGGTTAGAGCAGACAAAGAAGATCAAAGCTGTTCAGGCTTTGCCGCAATCGAAGAAAGGCAGAGGGAAAAGACATGCAAAGAGAGATAACAGCTGGAGAAGGGTGGGAACTGAAGAGAAAGAGGATGAAAATGAATGTGGAGAGGACCATTTTTTGATAAAAGGATATAACGGTAGTTTTAATTCCCTTCTGGGAAGTACAGTTGCAGGTCCTTCAGGCTAAAGAGGATGTTAAATGTCATCTCCTCTGCTGTGGGTGAATGACAAGACCTAGTGGAAATGATGTGTCTACTGATTAAGAGATGTTCTCTGGCAGCTTTATAATTAGCACTTCAGTTCCCTTTTATTACAAGTTCCTGAAAATAAATTGTCATGGCGGAGGGGCGGCACCCAAAATAAAACCGAGCCATGGTGTCTTCAACTCCTTTTGCTATTAAACTAACCCCTGCCCACCTTTCAGGTTCTTTGGGTGTCTTTTGAGCGGGGTTTGCTGGTGCTAAACGCTCACAATATAGTCAACAGGTAATCAACAAATAATAACTAGCAATTATCAATGAAAACATTCAATAATAATTAACACTATGGAGGATCCCTCGTAACAATACACGTTAACACATCTATCTTTGAGTCACAACAATACAGGATGATAAACTACTTACCTTATGTAAGTAAGTATCTACACAAACAAACAACAAATCATCAAATTAGCAATGACCATCCGTGCTTCTATAGAGTAAGAACTTCTTATCAAATACGACAGGCCTTTCCAATGAACAACATGTGGGGCAGGGGTGGGGTGGGAGAGAGGAGAAAAGCAAATCTCCCAATTCCCTCCAAGTCTGATTGACAGGTGCCCGGTTCCTTCCTCTGCTGGGTCCTAACGCCTTCGGCTCCGCCACTCAGGACCCTGTTGCTGGGGTGCCAAGGGGAGGAAACTGAGCGCAGGCAGGTTTCGCTCGACGGGGTCGGTTATAGGACAAGGCAGAGAGACACCAGGTCTACCCGTTATTCCCGGTGCGGGGGGGGGTACCTCCACACTTCCACCCCGTGACGGTTGTCACACCCCGAACATGAACCGTTAAAGGTTTAAGAACAACAAACGATGCAGTAGAAACAGTTGAACATACAGATCCAGGGTGTGGCATATCCACTGGCGTTAGTTATCTCCAGGACTGTTTGAGTCATATTTCGTTTGATGCTTTACAGCAAAGCTTATTCCAATTATAATAACGGTAGTAACTAGTATCCATTACAACAAACTTTGACTCCAGCCTGCCATAGAACGACCAAATTTGTTAAATAATTTCCCTAATAAACTGCTGTTTGTAGTATCCCTTAATTCCCGAGCGTCTTAGGCCACACGCTGCATGGTATGTAATTGGGGTTCCAAACTGGAAGTTACATTTGGTATAAAGATATAGCAATTATTATCCGCTAAGCCTAAATAGACACACACCCCCTTTGGTTTAGTAGTAACAAATCTAATGGCATACGGTTTTGCAGTGTCGTTTTAGAGGTAGCTTGAAGGTGTTTGTTAATTAACCCGACAGAATTGTGGGTGGCATTCGCTAAAGCCTCAGCCTGGTATGTTAATTTGCTTAACATGACCTGGTTTGGTGCGTTCACCGCTCCTAAAGAGAAAATACCTTCAAGGGCTCATGAGATCCTCGTCCAAAATCCAGGTTTCCTCCCCCCCCCACCCCATGACGTCATCTCTTTTGTGATAAGTCCAATATTCTGAGTGATTAGGGAATCACGCCACTGTGGACAAAGAGTAGGTACGCCCAAGGTGCGTTGTAGAGGCACAGTAATATGGGTTTTTGGAAAAGAAGGTTCAAGGAGTCCTGTTTCATCTTGGAGTTTAGCGGGGTCTAGTTCTCCCTGGGTTTTTCCTTTAGGTAACTCTAAATCTAGTGCTTTTTCGCAGCTATCTGCTTTCGAAGGCAGCTATAGTGGTCAGTAAAGATAGCATCAGAGTGGCGTTTGACATGACTGTGATGCACTATACGGCAGTTCAGTATGTAAATTTCCATCTGCATGTGCCCATATCAGCCCCACAGGCAGTTTAATAGCACCAGTACGACAGCCTTCCTTTTTGCTTTCAGGTATTGGGGCTTGGGCACAAGCGCAGGTTGCAGTAAGAACTCTAGTCACCAAGAGATACGGGCTTACATCATTTGAATTAAAACAATCCAGTACTCGCTGACAATTCCATAACATAGACTGGTTTAGATTAGGTGTTGTACCAAGATGTATTTACTGGATACGTCTATTTTAAAGAGTGATTTTCATTCTTCTACCCTTTTAATTGGTTATTATAATCAGTCAAGTCTAGGTCATACATTTCATTTGCTTCACCTTTATCAGTAGCATTAGTAAAATTTACATATAATGGTATAAGCCCAATTGGTAGGAAGGAATCAGCTGACCCTGGCATGGGCAAGCAGGCTGTGATTTGGATTAGGTTTATCATATCCGCAAACCCCTTGACAAGTTTTAATACGGTGTTTTCCTCAAGAGTCCTGAGCCCCTAGATACAATTATTAGCAATAGCATAAATTGTAACATCCGCATATTGGCGATGGATGAGAAGTTCACACGAAGTAAAATATCTGAAAGCTAAACTCTGAAAGAGAAAAGAAAGGATATTCCTCAAACAGTAAGTAGGGTTAGGAACAAGGTAAAATCCAGCGTGAGCTAATTCTATAGGACTTTCTATTTTCATTGACAGCCTCTCATGTATATGCTCCCCTAGACTTATTTAAGCTCAAAGGTACAATCCTGACGTTTGCATGGCCGTAACGGACCAACATAGTCCACCTGCCATGTATGCCAGTGGACTTTGTCATGGCTAATATGGGCTACAGGTAACTGTCCCGGGTGTTCCCCCTTAAATCGTGATTTACAGAGAGGACAAGAAGAGATGATCTGATTTACCGTAGTCAGTGTTACGGGCCACCCTTGTGCAACACTTTCCCTATACGAATGAGAGCAACCTGAATGCCCACGCTTAATGTGTGTCCATTCCAACAAATGTTCCCACTCTCCTCCTTCCTTGTTCACCAGATTAATA